TCTCTCTCTCTCTCTCCAAATGAAACCAAATGAAATGCTTCAAAATTAGCAATGTTAAAACATCATTATTTTTCTGTTTTGTATAAGGTAATTAAGTACCATGTTTTCGTGTTGTAGACATTCAATAATTTGGTATACGTTGAATTTCCTTCCACATGCAAGAAATAATTTACGTGTTTTACTTGAATATTAATATCAAGGATTCAATGTAAAAATTAGTTGCACTGTATGCTTTGTATTTGCATTAAGAAATCAAGTCAATAGGAAAGCTTGAAAATGCAATTATGTTCACTTTTTAATGGCTATCTTCTGCTAAGCTTCTTAGACCATCTTATCTTTAATTTAATTGTACATTATTGATATTATTGATATTTATTTTTGCATGAACCTGTGAATTAACATTTACAATTTTTCATCTTTATGGGATTTCTGTTTTTCATGTAGTCATAATATCATCCCTTTGTTTTTCTGTCTTTATTGTACAATTCTTGTTTGTGTGTTCATTTTTTATCATTTACCCATATTATTATATTTTGGATGTTTTTGTTTCTAATGAGAGAATAAAAGAATTTGAATGGTGAACAGTGAAGGATGAAGAATATGGAATGTACTGTGGGAATGAAAAAAATTATTAACATATACCATTTGAAATAAAAAAATGTATTCTCATTTCAAAATGTGTAAAATTTTGAAACTTTTCTTATACTTTACTTGAAATGTCTGTTTAAATTCAGACAGGAGCACAGTACTGGGACTGCGCTCCCGGGGTCAGTGCCTGGGTCTCAGTGCTCTAGGGGCAGTGTTGGTGACTGGGGCTTGTTTTACATGCTCATACCAGTTCGTTCTCCCTTCCCTCCTGCCCTATCCCCCACCCCCTATAGTGTCCCCTTTCAGCTCCCAGGGAGGGTGAGGCTTTCTATAGGGGAATCTTCAAAGTTTTTCCTATCATTTGGAACAGGCCCTACGCCCTCCCCATGTTTCTAGGCAGAGGTTATATCCTTTTATGTGAAGTGAAAGCAGAAAAAGCCACTGACAGCTAAACACTGAGCTCAACTCCTGGAATCAAGTTTTAGTGAGGGAGGAGTGATGACAAGACTGACTGGAGAAATCCACAGAAGCAGGTGAACAAGTTGGAGCTCATGAACTCCAGACTGATAGCTAGGAACCAGGCCCCTTGAATGTGAATATCAGTTAGGAGGCCTGGGCTGCATATGGGGCCTCTGGTAGTGCATCAGGTTTTACACCTAGTGTATGAATGTACTTTGGTATCCTATTCCACATAGAGGGATAATATTTCAGCTTAGACACATGGGGGAGGCCCAAGGCCCTGCCCCGAATGATGTGAAAGACTTTGATTATCCCCCATGTAAGGGCTCACCCTATCTGGGAGCAGAAGAGGGAACTGATGGAGAGCTGGTAGGTGGCATGCAAGGATGGGAGGGAGAGAAAACTTGGATTGATATTTAAAATTATTCTGATTCTAACTAAAATAAAAACAAGAAAGAATGTAAGAATAACATTTAGAAAAAGTATATTTCTTTTTATAAAATTATTTAACTTAAAAACAATCTTATTTTTTTTAAATTTTATTTTCCAGTTTAAATTTAGATAAGAAACAAGGTTGCTTCACAAGTCAGTTCCAGGTCCCTCTCCCATTCCCTCCCTTCCTCCCGTGCCCTCCCCCCGTTATCCCCTCATTTCTCCAGGGAGGGTGAGGCCCTCCATGGGGGTGTGCATAGTGTGTCATTTCATATAGGGCAGGGCCTAGACCCTTCCCCAAGAGTTCAGGGTGAGAGTGCACCTCACATTGTTCTATGGGAGTCCAAAGTCCGTGTGTATACTTGGGATGGTAAAAAAAATCTTATTTTTCATACCTGAGGTACCATAGGCTTATCAGGCCTAGTAACTCTCATAGATTGGTACTTAGAGCTTCTGATTTTCCAATTATCAAAATGATATAAAAATTATCAATTTGCAAAGTGAAATTTGAACATCATTTTTCCATTACATATCAGAGGAAATAAACGTGCAGTCTTAATACTTTCCTTTATAACATGTCTTCTCATGCACTTATGGCAAGATTCCTAAATATGCTAATGTTTTGTGAATTCAAATGTCATTGGCAAAATAGAACAGTGTCAATCTAAATCTTGATCTGCCTGTTACACAGGTTACACTGAGAAGAAGCAATACTGCTCCAGAGCGAATCACGATTAATATTGCGTTTGGTCCCATAATGAATGTGCATGTACAGTGTTTTAAATTTTAACCTATCCAGTTACTTAACTATTGAACATTTTCTCAGGAAGTTGTGAGTCAAAAAGCAGTGAAATGAAGCTTCTGTTGTTAACTGCTGTCATCATCATTGTTGTCAGAAAAGAGGTATCTCCTTCTTTAGTGGAAGAAGATAAGGTATGGTCCTGTTGTGTCTTTGCATGTGGGTCCCTCTCATAGGAGCCAAGTTGGAAAAAATTCTGTTTCACAATAGCATATAAGTGTTGTCCTTTTTCCTTCACATATATTCTTGTGAATGTGTGTGTGTTCATGTGGTGACTAATAATACAGAAGTCCTCAGAAATAATCCTTGAATTTCATAACTCAGGATATTTTCTTGTAAATACATGGCATGGTCGACCCCTTTTAGGTAAATATCTTACTTTTTAAAATTTAGATAGATGAGCCAAATCAATTATACTCTCTGTATTTCTGCCTTTTTTAGCCTAGAAATTATGGTTACACACCAAAATAGTTGACTTTTTCACCTCATTTTTTGGGAAAGAATTTTGAAGTTTTATATCAATTTTATAATGCCTACTATGACTGATATATTTCCCAAGGTTAGCAAAAATTATTTTAATATTTAATAGAGGTATAAATATAAATTTTCATCATTCAGTGGTTCTTACATTTCTTGAATCAATAGTAAAAAAATATCGATAACTATCAGTCAGCAAGTGTAGATGTTATATGACAGTAATTCTATGATTCAAAGCAAACAGTTTTAAAGACTTCTGGTTTTACATATGCTTGAGATTTTAATGAATGATTCCAAATCTATGTTTTGTGGTATTCATACTGCTATATATTAAGGACCAATTAATATAATATAATTTATATTTTTAAATATTTGAGCTGGTAGATGTGTATAGGATACCTCAAATAACAATAAATTCAAATGATTCTCACAAACAAAATGAATAATAAGTTAATGTGTTTAGGGGTTGTTATGTTAATATAACAGATGTGTGTCTGTAGAAATGTATCATGGTGAATTCACTGAAAACTTAGCCACAGATTTTGAACCTTGAAAGTTTTAAAACGTATTTTAATCAGAGTAGGTATAAATATCTTATGTATGAAATATATTCTGTATCTATATATTTCTGTTAATGTCAGATAGTATCTGGGTAAATACTGGCAAGAAGATATGTTATCGAGATCATTTGTTTCATTAACTATATCAAGACTGGTATCATACCAAAGTTGAACACTGTGAATATGATATATTAATATTATATATTGAGCTTAGAAAAGAAAATAATTTAGTGAATAATATATCAAGCAAAACTTTGATTAAGAAAAGTATGAAAGAATTCACAGATTGTTTGAATATCACTCTACATTTCTATATATTACAATATCCAAAGAACCGTGCTTTATTGAGATTTGTATATAATGTGTTCATCAAAAAACATAATTATGTATTTGTATCCTAAGGTGCCTAAGATGATTTAAATGAAGCAGTGTGACTGCCAAAGTAACACTTGTCAAGAAAGTTAGGCATGGTTCATTTCAAAGCAAAGAACTCTGTCACAAAACGAAATATTTCTCTTAATTTATCTAACCTTAATTAGGACATTAATTTCCTTTGTATTGTTTTCAATTCTTCATGTTTTTTATTGCTATATCTATTTTGTGTTTGAATTTACCATTTTGCTATTACTCTTAATGTCTTAATAGGATTTTGCAAATTTTCTTATGAGAACATATAATAATTATAAGTGTGAATATGTGCAATCATATATAATATGAGAACATTTAATTTTATTTTTAACTTTTAATATTGTTTCTATAAACTGTAAAGATATTTGCATAAACATATTTTTGTTTATTTAAGATAGCTTGCTTTCTAATTAATGTGTTATGATTAATGTTTCTATACTCTTTCCAGTTCTTCCCCAAAATCCCTCCACTCTGCATTCACTTACTTTATGCCAGTCATTAGAAAAGAACAGACTTCTGAGACATGAGACAATTAAATATATGATTTAACAAAACCTATTTCATTGAAGTTGGACGGGATCACGTAATATTAGAAAAAGCATCCCAAGACCAGGCTATTGGTTTTCTACAAATAGCATACAACACTCACTGTTTAATTTTAATTTTAAGACACTTTACATGTTTATTTGAAAATGTTAATTGTATTTACCACTGTTTCAATTGAATCCACTGGTTCTCATCTCTAAGCATATTTTCTAACCCTTTTAAGTCTGATTTTTGATTTGCAAAGAGAAAATGAATATAATTTGCACAGCCCATGAAAGCATCATGAGGTTAATATTCTGCAGTATGGTAAAACTACAAAAATTAGCCTAAGGACGAAATTGAATCCATTTTCAGTAGCACCTATCAATTACTCTATCTCTTCTGCAAGGTTTTGGACTTCATATTTTTGATTTTGTATGCTAGATTATATCTGGGTATGGGTATTTGGGGCTTTTAAACATTACATGAATTATGCCCATAGATTAATATGACTAAATTCTCCCCTTTTATTCTCTGAACCCTGCATTTTGTAAATAATGCTTTACTCAAAGTTTCTTCATTCTTGTATTATGGAGATTTTACAAAAATACACAATTGTTTCTTAGAATATTCTTCAATTGGGTTGCTGTTTATAGTATATACCACTATCCACTTTGGCTAATGTTATAGAAGGCATGTCTGTATTATCAGTAGGATAATGGGCACATGTGGTTATATCAAGAAGATGAATGTTGACATGTCAACTCACATTCAGGAAGTTATCAGAGAGAATGAACTTTTGGGGGACATGTCTCTAAATGGTCAAAACCAATTTCAGTAATGCATTTACTTTACAAAGATAAGGATTTCCACAATCACCCCAACTCCCACAAGTGATACAGGAACAACTGTCCATTACCACGTAGGGAAAACACTTAACAAAATTGTTGTTTCATACCGTGAAGTCTTAAAGAGTTCACATTTTGTATGGTTTCTTTTTTATTTTTCAGTTTAAATTTAGATAAGAAACAAGGTTGCTTCACAAGTCAGTTCCAGGACCCTCTCCCTTTCCCTCCCCTTCTCCCGTGCCCTCCCCCCAACCACCCCATTTTCCCCTCATTTCCCCAGGGAGGGTGAGGCCCTCCATGGGGGTGTCCATAGTCTGTCATTTCATATAGGGCAGGGCCTAGACCCTTCCCCAAGAGTTCAGGGTGAGAGTGTAACTCACATTGTTGGATGGGAGTCCAAAGTCTGTGTGTATACTCGGGATGGGTACTGATCTGCTGCCCAAGGCTCAATGTATTAACTAGGCCTGCTCACTGACACTCATATTCAGGGGTTCTTGATCAATCCCATGCTGGATTCCCAGGCTGATGCCTGGGATTCAAGAGTTAACCTTTGTCAGGTCAGCTATTTCTGGAGGTTAAACCAGCCCAGTCTTAATCCCTTTGGTCATCAGTCCACACTCTCTATTACTGGCTTTCTTGAGTTCAGCTCAGTACTTAAGCGAGGGAGTCTGCCTCTTCTTCGATCAGCCACTAAATGAAATTTCTGTTTCCCAGACTCTCTGGCCATGGGATTGTAGGCTGGCACTGCCCAGATCTATGTCTAAAATCCATAGATGAGAGAGTAAATGCCATGCTTTTCTTTTTGTGACTGGGTTACCGCACCCAGAATGGTTTCTTCTAGTGTCATCCATTTGCCTGCAAATATCAGGATTCCATTTTTATGCTGAATAGTACTCCATTGTGTAAATGTACCACATTTTCTCTATCCACTCTTCGGTTGAGGGACATATAGGTTGCTTCCAAGTTCTGGCTATTACAAATAATGCTGCTATGAACATAGTGGAACAGACATCTTTGTTGTTTGAATGGGCATCTTTTGGATATATGCCTAAGAGTGGAGTTGCTGGGTCTTGTGGAAGGTTTATTCCCATTTTTCTGATGAATCTCCATACTGATTTCCAAAGTGGCTGAACATGTTGGCACTCCCACCTGCAATGGAGGAGTGTGTGGGTTAATATCCGGGTTTTCAATTCGATTCCATTGGCCTACCTGTCTATTTTTTTGCCAATATCAAGCTGTTTTCAGGACTATAGCTCTATAATACAGCTTGAGGTCAGGGATGGTGATGACTGCGGATGTTGCCTTGTTGAACAGGGTTGTTTTGGCTATCCTGGGTCTTTTGTTTTTCCATACAAAATTGATTATTGTTCTTTCAAGGTCTCTGAAGAATTGTGCTGGGATTTTAATGGGGATTGCATTGAATCAGTAGATTGCTTTTGGCAGGATTGCCATTTTTATTACATGGATCCTAACTATCCAAGAGCATGGGAGATCTTTCCATTTTCTGTGGGCTTCTTTAATTTCTTACTTTAAAGATTCAAAGATCTTGTGACACAGATCTTTCACTTGTTTGGTTAGCGTTGCCCAAGGTATTTTATGTTGTTTGTGGCAATTGTAAAGGGTGATGTTTCTCTGATTTCTTTTTCAGCTCTTTTATCATCTGTATACAGTAGGGCTACTGATTTTCTTGAGTTGATCTTGTAGCCTGCCACTTTGATGAAGGTGTTAATCAGCTGTAAGTGTTCCCTGTTAGAGTTCTTTGGGTCATTGATGTAAAAAATCATATCATCTGCAAAAAGTGAAAGTTTGACCTCTTCTTTCCCAATTTGTATCCCCTGGATCCCCCTATGTTGTAGTATGGCAATAGCTAGAAATTCAAGTACCATGTTGAAAAGGTATAGAGAGAGTGGACAGCCTTGTTTTGTTTTTGATTTGAGAGGAATTGTGTTGAGTTTCTGTCCATTTAGTTTGATGTTGGCTGTTGGTTTACTGTATATAGCATTTATTATGTTTATGTATGTCCCTGTTATCCAAGACCTTAATCATGAAGGGGTTTTGGATTTTGTCAAAGGCTTTTTCAGCATCTAGTGAGATGATCATGTGATTTTTGTTTTTCAGCTTGTTTATATGGCGGATTGCATTGATGGATTTTCATATGTTGAACCATCCCTGCATCCCTGGGATGAAACCTACTTGATCGTGGTGAATGATTGTTTTGATGTGTTCTTGGATCCGATTTGCCAGTATTTTATTGAGTATTTTTGCATCAATGTTCATGAGGGATATTGGTCTGAAGTTCTCTTTCTTAGTTGTATCTTTGTGTGGCTTGGGGATCAAAGATGTTGAAGCTTCATAGAAAGAGTTTGGCAAAGACCCTTCTGCTTCTATTGTGTGGAATATTTTGAGAAGAATTGGTATAAGTTGTTCTTTGAATTTCTGGTAGAATTCTGCACTGAGGACATCTGGACCTGGACTTTTTTTGGTTGGGAGACTTTTGATGACTGCTTCTATTTCCATAGGGTTTATAGGTCTATTTAAATTGCATATCTGTTCTTCATGTAGTTTTGGAAAGTGATAGATATCCAGGAAGTTGTCCATTTCCTTTAAATTTTCGAATTTGGTGGAGTACAGGTTTTCAAAGTATGACCTAATTATTCTCTGGATTTCCTTAGAGTCTGTTGTTATGTACCCCTTTTCATTTCTGGTTTTGTCAATTTGCATGTTCACTCTCTGCTGTTTGGTAAGTTTGGACCAAGGTTTGTCTATCTTGTTGATTTTGTCAAAGAACCAACTCTTAGTTGCATTGATTCTTTGTATTGTTTTCCTAGTTTCTACTTTATTGATTTCAGCCCTCAATTTCATTATTTCCTGGCGTCTGCTCCTCCTGGGTGAATTTGCTTCTTTGTGTTCTAGAGCTTTCTGCTGTGCTGTTTATTCTCTAGTATAACTGTTCTCCAGTTTCTTCATGTGGACATTTAGTGCTATGAAATTCCCCCGTAGCACTGCTTTCAAAGTGTCCCATAGGTTTGGGTATGTTGTGTCTTCATTCTCATTGAATTCGAGGAAGTCTTTAATTTCTTTTTTAATTTCCTCTTTGACCCAGGGATGGTGCAGTTGAGCATTAGTCAATTTCCATGAGTTTGTAGGTTTTCTGCAATTTGTGTTGTTGTTGAATTCTAATTTTAAAGCATGGTGGTCTGATAAGATGCATGGAGTACTCCAATTTTTTTGTAGCTGCTGAGCTTTAATACGTTGCCAAGTATGTGGTCGATTTTTGAGAAGGTTCCATGTGGTGCTGAGAAGAATGTATATTCTTTTTGATGTGGATGAAATGTTCTATAGATGTCTGTTAATCCCAGTTGGGTCATTACTTCTATTAGACCCTTTGCTTCTTTGTTGAGTTTCTGTCTGGTATTCCTGTTTAGAGGTGAGAGTGGTGCGTTGAAATCTCCAACTATAACTGTGTGGGGCTTTAACTCTCAGGTAATATCTGTCTTTGTGGGTGAGGTGTGCTTCATGTATGCAGCAGAAGGAAGGGTTCTGTCTTCGAATACATTCTCCTTGTCTGTGTCTTTTTATGTGTGAGTTAATGACCATTGATTGCTCATCCTTCTTCGATTTGCAGTGGTTGTTGTTGTTGGAATTATGTGTGCAATTTCACCCGTTTGTTCTTTCGGCTGTTGGTAGAGAGGGATTCTCTAATGCCTATGTTTTTCTGGTTGTAGTTAGCTTCCTTGCGTTGGAGCTTTCCTTCCAATATTTTCTGTAGGGCTAGGTTAGTGGAAACGTATTGCTTGAATCTAGTTTTGGCATGGAATATCTTGTTTTCTCCGTCTATAATGATTGAGAGCTTTCACGGGTATAGTAGTCTGGGCTGGCTTTCATGGACTCTTAGTGTAGGTAGAATATCTATCCAGGACCTTCTGGCTTTTAGAGTTTCCACGGAGAATTCAGGTGTAATTCTGACAGGTCTGCCTTTATATGTTACTTGACCTTTTTCCTTAGCTGCTCTTAATATTCTTTCTTTATTCTGTATGTTTGTGGTCTTGATTATTATGTGGCGAGTGGCCTTTTTTTTGGATTTGTTTTTTGTGGTCCACTCTATTTGGTGTTCTGTAGGCTTCTTGTACCTTCATTGGCATGTCTTTATTAAGGTTGGGAAAGTTTTCTTCTATGATTTTGTTGAATATGTCTTCTGCCCCTTTCAGGTGGATTTCTTCTCCTTCTTCTACACCTATTATTCTTATGTTTGGTCTTTTCATGGTGTCCCATATTTCCTGGATGTTTTGTGTTAAGGATTTGTTGGACTTAAGGTTTTCTTTGGTTGGTGAATCCATTTCTCCTAGTGTATCTTCAACACTTGAGATTCTCTCTTCCATCTCTACTATTCTGTTGGTAATTCTTGTATCTGTAGTACCTGACTGTTTGCCCAGCTTTTCTATTTTCTGCCTTTCTTCAGATTGTGTTTTTTTATTGTCTCTATTTCAGTTTTCAACCCTTGCAATGTTTGCATTGCTTCTTTCTCTTTTAAATTTATCTTTGCCCATTTGTTTCCTTTTATGAAGTTTTTGGTTTGTTCTTTCTTCCATTTCTTGCATTTTTTCTTTGCCTTTTGTTCCATTTCTTGCTTTTTTTTGCTTTGTTTCTTCTTCCATTTCCTGCCTTTTTTGGTTTGTTTCTTCTTCCATTTCCTGCATTTTTGGTTTGTTTTTCTTCCTATTCTTGCATTTTCTGGTTTGTTTTTTCTTCCATTTCTTGCATTTTTTGCTTTGTTTTTTCTTCCGTTTCTTTGAGGGATTTTCATATATCCCCTTTTAGAGCCTCTATCATTTTCATGAAAGTGATTTTAAGGTCGTTCTCTTCTGCTTCGTTCGCATTGGAATGTTGGAGTCTTGCTTGTGTGGAGTCTCTAGAATCTGGCTTTTCATATTTGTTTTTCTGTTGCTGAGTGTGTTTTGTATTGTCTCTTTCTCATCTCTTCTTCTAGTGGGTGCAGAAAGAGCCCCTTACTGATCAGGGGACCAGAGTTCCCTTTTGGCGGGTGTTAGCAAGTTCAATAATCTGGTGGTTCTTCTATTCATTGTCCTCATTCTGCTCCCTGGGTTGAGAAGAAGAACAGGAATCTGGGGCACTTAGCCTCCTACCTGGTCCCCTGGAACAGTTACTCCCCTGGTCTCCCTGGCTCTTCTGTTTTCCTTGTCTCGTTGGTGAGAGAGAAGACCTGGAGTCTGGGGTGCTTGATTCCTGTCGGGATTTGAAACTCTGCAGTTCCCAAGTGATCTGCAGGCACTGGAACACAGGCCAGGAAGCCGGCCTGTTTACCTGATGCTGCTGCAGGAATAGCTGCTTCCCTGGACTCCCTGGCCCCTTTGGTTTCCTGGTTTCGTTGGTGGGAGAGAAGACCTGGGGTCTGGGGTGCTTGGCTCCTGTCGGGATTGGAAGATCTGTGCAATGCCCGGGCTATCCGCAGGCACTGGAACATAGGCCGGGAAGCCGACCTCCACAAACTCACTCAACGTTATCTGTATCACTTTACATGCCTAGTAGCAGTCAATAAATTATCCCTTTAAAATCAGGATTCATAAAAATGTTTAACATTTTTATTCCTGAAAAGTGATCTGAAAAAGAGATGACAGAATCATAAAATTTTAATTTATATTACTCTGATGCATATGGATATTAGCTTCTTTGGAAGTTCTGTTAAATTTTATTACACATTTCATTTTTAACACTTAATACAGTCATATTATGAAATATGACTGTAATAGCCTCAAAATTTACTCCTTCTCATACTCTGTATGAGGCCGTTTAAAATTTTTCATTATCTTTTAGTTCTTATTTTTTTCCTTTTTGTATATAATAGAAATTAGTCTAGTAAATGAGTTTGTTTGAAAATGGTTTCTTGTCTTACTTACACTGCCTCTCTGCTGTTTTGAGTCTTATTTCAATGTAAAGAATATTTTTATTTGATTAAACCCATTTGTCAATTCTTCACCTTTCTTCTATTATTTGATGCTTTCTTCAGAACATCTTTAACTGTGATTAGAAGGACAAGCATAGTCTAAAAGTGTTTTCTTCTAGTATTTAAAGGACATATTTCTCAATTTGAGATACAAAGCATGTCATTTACATCTATGTTTGGTGAGCAGTAAATATATACATTATCGTTTCCAAAAAGATATGTTCAAATTTTGCATAATAGATTTTAATCATGGAAGATAAACACTGTTTTATGTCTTAGTACTGTAGTGTTTGGGAGTTGAAAATATCTTTGTTTACAAAGTTATCCATGGTAATTGCATCATACAATTATATTTGCTAAAATATTTTGACTGTCACTGAAAATTAATTGCATTATTTAATATCGCCTTTCTTGGTCAGGTTTCAGGGAAAGTTCACACACTCTACTTGGCAGCTGATGATTTAAACTTAATAGCTGAGAATGGGCCACTAAGAATTTATATACACAATATTCTATCTTATAATAATTACAAGGAATTGAACATCACCTTTTATCTCAGGTAAGGTAACTTTATTCTGTCATAAGGAAATAAATATTCAAATCTAATTTCTAGTGTAGTGCTCCAATTTCCTTAACACTATGAGAAAATAAATCATTTAAGACAAATGTTTGCTCATCATATCATAAATCATTTTATAGTGTCACAATAACTAGGTAATGAAGGAAAAAGGCAATGAATTTCTCTAATACATCATTTCAAGAAATGTATAAATTACTTAGTCCGTTTTTCATAAATATTTATAAGCAGCTTTTTTGTTAAGCATTCAGATTCAATAACTTTACATAATATCAGAGATTCTGCCTCTATATAGTGTCTAAGTTATTCTGTAGAATCAAAGTTTCCCATTGTGTAAGGTGAACTAAAACTCAGTAGGTAGGAGATTATCCTCATGAACTCTATTCTCAGTAACTCATCTAACATGTTCTGGAATTGCAGCCTCATATCAACATGTCTACAAAGTCTTAATATGCTTTATGTGTTTCTTGTATAATAAAAATATTACCTAAAATCACTAAAGCAAGGTATCAAAACAAGGGTCATGTTTTTGTGCATGGAAGTCAGAAAAAATATCATTCATTAAGTAATTGTGTTTATCATATGAAATTGAGCAGGGATATAAAAACATACTGATGAACCACACTGCTTATGTCTACCAGAAGTCTCCTGAAATAGAAAATATTTGAAAAAAATAATAGCTTTGTTGAGTATGAACTCTGAAACCTTGATATGGGAATATGTATATTTGACATTTTTAGGCATGGTAAATTAAAGTTTTAGTGGTCTAATAAATTTGCTCCTGTTCATATTTGGCTTTTAATTTGTATTGAGCAATAATATAATAAAATTGTAAATCTTTTAAGAGAAAAGTTTCGTTTTAACTTTCTAAATGTATTATTAGTTAGTTTTGATAGTACAATATGATTGCATCACATCACTCTCCATTTCTTCCTGCAAATCTGAAAACACAACCATAATAGCCCTCTTTCAAATCCTGTCTTAAATTTATTTATTGTTGTTACATACACATGAATTTTTTGGGCTTTTCAAGACAGGGTTTCTCTGTATTGTATTGGAGGCTGTAGGTCCAGCCCAGCCTCGAACTCACAGAGATCCGCCTGCCTCTGCCTCCCGAGTGCTGGGATTAAAGGCATGCATCACCACCACCCGGCTATGCACATGAATATTACATTGTTTTTTAATACTAATGTTAATAGCTATAAATACAAAATATACATTAGAGATGTTAGAATGCAATTCTATTCATTAAGTCTAATATAGCCAATAAATGACCTCATGATTGTAGAAAGAATGACTGTGTCTATATGAGATTGTAACACTATGGGCCAAAATTGAATCTTCTTCTTAAATGAACAAAGGCAATTTTAGAAAATTAGTAGATTTTGCATTAGTGGGAGAGTTATGTTTAGGACAGAATGACTGTATTATTGACATGGTATATATACCAGAAACAGAGTTACAATTCTCAGCAATATATGTTCACATGACTTTATAAACCCCTGTGTAGTTATGAACAAATATGTGAATAAAGTGAATCAATTTATCTGTCTAATGTAGGTATTACTTTTCAAAAATTCTACATTGTCGATTAATTGCATCATGAGGTATCTTGTAGTACAAAGACTCTCTCTCTCTACATATATATATATATGTATATATATATATATATATTGCAACAAATGCTCCCAGTACAAAAATGCATGTTTGTAATTTCATCTCCGTGTCAATATATAAAGAAATTTGATGAGTATAGTTTTCAAAATCATCCATTCTTTAAATTGTATGAATTGCAATATAATTTCCTTGTGTGTTTAATCAGAAGGACATATTTGTAATATTAACTGATGAAATGAAATGATGATTACTTTGTGTTTAGGCAAAATAATGGCTGCCAAATATATGCTGTTTCTCTTCAAAAGTTATTTTCTTTCACATTCATCAAAATGAGTGAGTATCATATGACTAAATAATTAATACATATACTGCATTAAATTCATAGTCATATCAATTACTTTAGCTGTGTTTTTAAATGTTTTTAATAAAGGAACAATTTTTGTATAATTGTTTTAGGGGATCATAAATCTTCATGGAATAGAAGCCATGGTGGATCTCCATATATTACAGGATTGTGGATTGTTAGAACTACATTGTCTACTCTCCCAGAAAGCTGGGTTCAGACATATGAAAATGGAATTAAAGGTCTGTATAATATTCTATCCATTCTGCTAATCTCCTTTCTATATCACTTTGGCTTCTCATCTAATATTATCATAAAACCACAAATGAAGAACCACCCACACAGACATCCTTGAACATTATCTCTATCACAAGTAGATAAGTAGTTTCTAGAGCAAGTTTTTACAAATATTTAAGTGAAAAACTGAAAAGATATGAAGATTAGAGAAATTATCATTGGTTACTGACATGAACATTTTTTGGAATTTGAGAAAATTCTAGTGTGGTATAATAGTATCATTTTCGTATTGATAATACTTAAGAAAATATTTTGTCTGATGACACTATAAGAAATAGTGTGTTTTGGGTTCTTTTCACGTTGAAAATTTAGCAAAAGTTTTATAAAAACTACAAATAATGTGATCGAGTTTAATCAAGCAAAATTTGAGGTAAGAAATCAAAATATCCACAAATATTTTTTAGTCATTTCAGTTTTATAAATTTTTAAATTTGCTAAGCAAATTTAAAATTAGATATTTGGTATCAGCATTTGAGAGGATATGTAAAGAATGCATATTTTGCATATCAAATCATGCATCTAATCCAATCATTTACTGTTGTTTTGTTATCAAAGTTTCTGACATGAATCAGGTAGATATTTTGAGTTCAGCATGAAACACAGGACAGGGTCCAAATCTACACAGAGAGACCCTGTCTCAAAATAAGAAAACAAAACAAAATCCAAATTAAAGATAATGATATTACCCATTTGCAAATTTAATGCAGATCAAATGTTTCTTCTCAGTCCCAGGTGTCGTAATATTTGCATTACATTTTATATCAAATACCACCTTGATAATGCATGTGAACTTTTCTGAAAAGAACGGAAACATCAGAAACGTGTGTGCAGCATTTTGTAAGTAATATATATAGATTTAGGCTGTTAGAAACATGTTTCTCTTGCACTTTTCTATAAGAAAAATTTTATTATTATATAGCACCATTGGTATTACTTGGCAATAAATCTCGCTAGATGTATGTAAATAATGAGGAATATTAAATTCTTGTTTCCCACACACAGTGGACCTAGTTCTTTCCCTGGAGTGTCCACAGTTGTAGGTCTGGAGTTCATGAGTTTCAATGAACTTGGTACAGGTGTGTCTGTACATTTCTCCATCATGAACTTAATCTCTGTTTCTCATATGTTCCCTCCTCACACTCATGGCACTTCTAAGTCAGAAATATCCATTAGATAATTATCAAGCATCAAATATATTTTGCTGGGTTATTCACAATAATGACATGTGTCACTGTTATAGAGGAGAAATGAAGAAATATATAGCCATTCCACGTCCTAAACCACGGACTCAATCATATCATTAATTTATTGTAACATTAAGTATACTTAAATTTCTCAGAAAGAATAAATTGTGTCTATCCCTTAAAACCCTATCAATGGTGAAATACTGTGTGTTATCCAAAAATCCTCATCTTTATGAGAAATATAAATATATGTATCAAAATGATACCATTATTCTTAGAATGTTGATAAAGTCATAAGATTGCATACATTATATGTCAAACTAGAGATTGAATACATATTTTTGAATTCACACTCTAAAAGGAAATTCTTAATTTGCTTCTTGTTATATTGACAACTCTTAAGTTGAATAACATTCATCCATAAGTATATGTGCAGAAAAAAATCAGATTTGATAATCTGAAAGCAAAGAGGTGTGTGTGGTGGGGGGCTGTCCGTTGACTTAGTAGGAATTTGTTGTGAATATCAGAAAAGTTGACTAGAAAGTGATTTTTGATTCAAATGAACAAGGCATATTTCTCCAGAAGTTAAATTTAAAAATCAATATGTTTTTACTGTGATAGACAACCAAATCTGTGAAACCTATAGTTCAGAAATTGTAGAATTCTGATGTTCTTTTTTTTCAATTCTTATATGAAATGGAGCAAAAGAAATCAGTCTCAGTAAAGAAATATGGGACTTGTATGTGGATTTTACTGCTTCATATGGAATTCCAATTAAAAATATACAAGATATCCTCAAAACTGGTAAATGACTCTTTTTGTTATTAGATAAATTATATTGATCTCTGTTAAATTAAAATACTTGTTGTGCATTTCCAGTTTTTAAAAACTTAAATTAATTATTGAGCAAATAAACTACATTTTACTTTATGTATCCTCTATTTAACAGATACCTGCCCGCAGTGAACATATCAATTTGGTGAGTTAACAGTTAATAAAATTTCTTGTTTATTGAAATTCAAGTAGATTGAGATCAAATCAATCACTTCATGATAAAGATTCCTTTGAGAGATATATGATCAAATGATATATTATATAAATATTTTAAATAATTAAAAGGAAATAATTTTCAAACATTGGTGATAACACAAATTATGCTTGCAATTATTTTGAAAAATATCTCCATTTGTAAAGTGATATAATCAATTTTATTTTATTTCTAGTTTTTGTCAATTAAAAATTTGTACATTTTACATTCCAAACACATGGCACCCTCCCTTGCCTTCTCCTGAATTATGACATCCCCATCCCAACCCCTACACACTTAAAAGTGAATAAGGCATTTTTTGGGGAGTCACAAAACTCTGGGATACCATGTTGAGGCAGGACCAAGTCTCTGCCCCCTGAATCAAGCTGGGTACAGTATCTGACAATAGTTAAAGATCACCAAAAAAGCCAGTTCATGTAATCAAGATACGTCCTGGTCTCACTGCCAGTGTGTCCCCAAACAGATCAAGCCAAAAAAACAGCACTCACATTCTGAGTGTGCAGTAAGGTCACAGGCAGGTTCCTCAGGTGTCCATCCAGAGTCCCTGACTTACCACTAACTCTAGTCGGCTGTCTTTGTGGCTTTTCCCATCATGATCATAACCCCCCCTTGCTCATATATTCAGTCCTCCCTCTACAAACTGGACACTAGGAGTTGATCCTAGTGCTTTAGTGTGTGGGTCACTGCACCTTCCCCCATTATTTATTGGATGTAAATACTATGATGGCACTTAGGGTGTTCACTAATCTGAAAACAGGGGAAAGCTAGTTCAGATGCTATCTCCATTATTGCTAGGAGTCTTAGCTAGGGTTATCTTTTTGGATTCCTATGGCTTTCCCTAGCACCATATATCTTCCTAATGCCACAATGGCTAATTCTATCAAGATTTCCCTTCCATTTCTTGCCCACTCCCTCCTTCCCTGAACATGGCCATCTGGATCACTCATGTTCCCATCTCCCATCCCATCCCTCTACCCTCTGCCAATTTACCCAGGAGATCTTAATTATTTCCCCTTCTGGGGGCCTCCTAGCTTTTCTCTCTTATGATCTTCCTTTTTACCAAGCTTCTCTGGGGTTATGGATTGGAGCACATGTATCCTTTGCTTTATGACTAATTTCCACTTACGATTGCCACATACAAAGTAGTCTTTCTGGGTGTGGGTTAACACACTAAGGATGATTTGCATTTCTCTGGTGGCTAAGGATGTTGAAGAATTCCGTAAGTGTCTTTTGCGCATTTGTGATTCTTCTGTTGAGAATTCTCTGTTTAGATGTACTAATTTTTAAATTGGTTTATTAAATATTTTGATGTCTAGTTTCTGTTGTTCTTTATATATTTTGGAAATCAGTTCTCTGTCTGATGAGGGATTGGTGAAGATTTTTTCCATTCTGTAGGCTGCTGTTTTTTCTTATTTAGCAAGGACTTTGCCTTACAGAAGATTTTCAGTTTCGAGAGTTACCATTTATTAATTGTAGCTCTCAGTATTTGTGCTACTGGTGTTATATTTAGGAGTAGTCTTCTGTGTGAATGTGTTAAACTCTATTTCCAAACTTCTCTTCTACTTGATTGAGGGCAGCAGATTTATGTTGAGGACTTTGATCCATGTGAACTTGTGTTTTGTGCATGATGATAAATATTGAAGTATTAGAAATATTAGACATGACAAAACCAAGTATGTCAGCACATTTTGTTGAAGAAGCTTCCTTTTTCCATTGTACATTTTGACTATTTGTCAAAACTCTGGAATTCATAGGTGAATGGATTAATTTCAGGGCCTGCAATTCTATTCAATATTCCATATGTGTGTACTTATACTAAAATCAAGCTATTTTTACTACTATAACTCTATAGCAGACAATGAAGTCAGAGTTGGTGATGCCCCTGGAAGTTCCTTTAATGTACAGAATTGTTTTGGCTCTCCTGCTTTTTTGTTTTTCCATATGTAGTTGAGTATTTTTTCAAGTTCTCTGAAGAATAGTGTTGATATTTGAATGGGGGTTGCATTGTATCTATTGATTGCTTTTGATAGGATTGTTTCAATGCTGTTTTTTTATGTATGGGTGTCAAACAGTAAAAGGAAATTAGCATTAAAAAATAATTTCTTTCTTTCCCAGGCACTGTAAATACATTTAGAAAAGCAATTACTTATTTAGTATGACTAACATATCAGACAAAGTTTTGAATGTGCTACACATAACTCAAACAACACACAATCTAAAGTATATTTAAATTTATCAAACTTCTATGTGTATTTTGCAATATTAAATATCTCTATATGAAAAATGCATCATGAACCATAACATCCCTAGAATTGTGCAAATATTAATTAAACCTACTTAAATAAACATGAAGTACTTATGATGAAATTTTTGCTTAGTAATTTCATCATTCTGTACATCACTCAATCATTTGCTCCTGTATATATAATATAATACAATGTTTTCATCATATTTTAAATCTTTTAATACTTTTTCCTTTTTATTCCAAAATACCCAGGTTACAAGATTGAGATTGAAAATCACAAATACGAAGATTGAATCATTTTTCTTTCTAATTGTTCATTTTCCTTTCCTTTGTAGTTTAAATTTTCTTCTCTTGTGTAGTAGGTTCCTTTCTTTGTGATTTGGTGAATAAATTAACATTACCAGCATAATTTTGTCGAACAATATTATTTATTACACAATGAAGTTAGCATTAAATATGTATATACGTTTTTGTTTATAGGGTATGTAGATATAGTTTTGTGTATGGTGTGTGTGTGCATACATATACCAAAGGATTTGTCTGTGGATCAAGGTACAAATATAGGTATGGCTTCCTCCTGTTCACCTTCATTTGGATAGTAAGAATAAAAATCAAAATGTCAAGCTTTCAAATTCAAATTTTTACAGACTGGAAACATTTTTCCTGCTACGAATTCTAATTCAAACAATTTTACTGACTCACAGTGGCAAGTACCATGTTGAATACTGTTGCATAGTTACATGGAATATGACTGGTCAGAGCACATTAACTTGAAAATTTAATAGTTAAATTAGAAAAAAGTTCAAATCAAGGTATCTAAGAAATGAAGACCGATTGCTTGAAACTAATTCCATGAAGCCATCTGATTTGTTCCATGAAAATATTACATGTATTCTGCAAATTCATGATGAAATCCGTGAAACCATAAAAATTAAATGGATGGATTAAAATATTCAAGACAATGGTCATGAGCTCCAACATGAAGCTAATATCTCTAAGTATGGGCATTTGATCACGTTTACAGAATGAGCATTTCTGAGTTTTTTGTAGGACCTGCATCAATTTCAATTATAGTCTTATGTTGTCAACCATATACATAGTGTCAAAATTGTGCCACTGAATGCATCTTCTCTAGGGATTCATAAAGCAGCATGCAGAGTCCAGGGCTATGTAAGATCAAATAATTCCCGTGTTTATAAAAGTGCTTCATTGCACCTTCTAGTATAATTTGGGAAGCTATCTTGTCATGACAGAACACATACCCCCATGCCACACATATATGTGTGCGTATTCATTCTTCAACTATTCTTATTTTTTTCAATATCTACTCACACTACTTCACACTAACTACCTATTTTTGCTTAAATATTCTTTAAATTTTAATGGAAGTTATTTACCCAGGTTACATTTCAGCACCCATGTGCAAGCAACTCCGAGGTATCAGGAAAAGAAAGACCAGATGTCCAGCTGTTTGTACTAAGAAGTGTCTTTATTTTTCAAGTGCTAAGAGGTCTCTCTCTTGTAGGAGGGAGCAGTCTGAAATGTAGTCTTACAATACATTAGAAAAACACCAGGTGTTAGAGAGTGTGTTTTCCTTCTGCTAGATGTTTGTGTCAGATGGGCATTGTGGGGACAGTAAGCCAGGACTAGTAAACAGGATGTACCTATGGCTATCAGCTACCACACAATTCAGATACTTGTGGGGGCTAGGTCCCAACATCTCTCCCCTTTTATTTTTTGAAATATTGTTGGAATTGTTTCTTCTCTATAGAATCTTCCATACAGATTTCTTTGGCTCTCAGGCCATGTTATAGGCTTTTGCTACTTTTCTTAGGGACTACAGCCATACTCACCCCTTGTAAAAGTTTTTAGAGATGACTCCCAAAATTGACCTTAAATTTGTAGCAATAACCAACCCTGTATAAATGCAAACAAACATTTATAAACAATATTTGGGAATGTGGGCATCAATCTTTCCAAACTACTTCCTGATGTTAAGGGGCGCTGGAATACCATGGGTATCATGACAAAACTCAGAAACCTGTATAAGTCCTTATTTTCAGGGTCTGTAAGGATGCATCATCTCAGCTGTTTTAACTGTTGAAACACCTGGCACATTGCTTCCGGGGATCTTGGTTCATCAAATCATACTTGTCTGGAAGGAACCCACAGGTTTTTGTTTTCTGTGGAAACAAAAGCAGAATTTTTCCCAAATAATCGGTCCTTATATTTAAATTAAGAATTGAAAGCATTTTCAAAGTATGAAAGTTGTATTATTTTAGCAGCATTGATCATCAAATGACTTTAAGTAGTTTTTCTTTCTTAGCAATTAAAAAGTGTAAAAACAACACAACAGCACACAGTATCCAGACTCTCCTTGTATTTTCCATTCCATATGTTTTTACCTTTTTGTTTTCTTTCACTTAATACCAGCACCTCATTTACTAACTGTTTCCAATTATCAATTCACCTATTTTCAATCCATCCTCCAACCGAGGATGGTCCCTGAGGCAAAGCCTTAAGATTTAGTCAATCCACCCTCCAACTGAGGGTGATTACTCAGGTTCCCCTTTCTTTCTCAACCTTGTCGGCTAAAGCCTGAAGATTTAACCTACTACCCCTTTTCAATATTCCCTCATAGCCTTACTTGCTAGCCAGCCTTTAAGGGTGATCTCTCAGTTCTCCTTTACTTTGCAGACCTCAATCGATCAGGGGAAAGGCTAGAGATTAATTTAATACACCTCCCTAGAAGGTGATCTCTTAAGCAAAAACCTGGGGATTTGACAATTCACTTTTAGTGTTAGAAGTTGAGGTACCTGTTTTTAATTCTTTTCTTTCTCGAGTCTCTCCTCTCCTGAATCTTCTTTCTGGCTGATCTTTTCCAGTCATTTTCAAGCCTCTCTGGGTCTCCATGGGACCTCTAATTTCAGTGTCTGAGACACAAGAAACTACATGGTATCATGAAAAGAAAGACCAGATGTCCAGCTGTCTGTACTAAGAAGTATCTTTATTTTGCAAATGCTAAGAGGTCTCTCTCTTGTAGGAGGGAACCGTCTTATATGTAGTCTTACAACACAGTAGAAAAACCCCAGGTGGAAGAGATCATGTTTTCCTCCTGCTAGATGTTTATGTCAGTGTGGCAGTAAGCCAGGGCTAGAAACCAGGATGTACCATGCCGTCCAGTTGTTGCATATTCCTTTAATCCCATCACTTGAGAGGCAGAGGCAGGTGGATCTCTGTGAATTTGAGGCCGGGCTGGACCGATAGCCTCCAAAACAGTACAGAGAAACCCTCTCTCATAAACAACAAAAACAAAAAAAAAACCAGGATATACCTGTGGCTATCAGCTGACAAACAACTCAGAGACCCTGTGGGGGCTTGGCCCCAACAATACATGTGTTCCCTGTATTTTCTACAAGGCCCTTTAATTGACTGTTTTTCTAAAGTTGAATAATGATAGTTTTTCATAAATATTTTTAATATAATCACAATTTTTTAATTAATTAACAAATATCTCATCACTGCTCACAATTTTCTCTTTCTTCAAGATTCATCAGTATTCTCCCTCACTAAATTGTATTTTGTTTGTATACCATACCCTAGCCCTTAAGCTACTTACACACATTGGAAAGTATCTGGTTTCTAGAATTTCATTTTATCTACACATTAAATAGGCAAATGTGTTGAAAGCTGTTGCCTAAATGTTTATCCATATAAAACTTTATTTCTGCTAATGTCTTAGCTCAACAGTCCATAATCAAGAACCTTTTATACTTAATTTGGTCTTATAATTTAACAATCAAAAAAGAAATTTTCATCTCCTATGTTGACTATGAGATTTTACATATACACCAATATTAACTGTAATAGTTTATGAAATGATATGTACTTAAACAGTGTCAAAACATCAATGTATTTAACTAAAATTGTATATCAGTCTTAGTTATATAAATAGAAAATGATTGTAACACAATACATAAACTAATAAAGAATCCTAAATATTGTCCAAAGAAGATCATTCTAACATAATGTTACAACCTCTGGAGCTATTTTTTCTTGATCTATAAAACGTTCAGAATTTGAACAATTTTTATAGAAATTACCACAGACTTTGTCCAGTTTCTATACTAAGTCCTTATAAAAGTCATAGAAACAGATTCTTTGGAACACAATTTTGTGTTCTGATACAAAATCTGTGCAGTTTTTCAATGAATGCAATCCCAGAGGAAGACAGATCCCCTGAGACTAAAGCTACAGAAGACTGTGAACTTCCATTGAATGTTAGGGACAAAACTATTCTCTGAAAAAGCACTCAAGGATTGTATTTTCTGTGCAATCTCTCTAGCTCCTTAATGTGATGTTAGTCTATGCAAAACAATCTTAGATTTTCATGCAAATGTAAAGTTATAAAGCATAGCATATACATAATTACAAATCTATATTCCCTAGTCTGTCATTCACTAATGATAATGTGATGCCAACTGATTTGTGAATTGAATGATAGTTAGCTATTGCATACTTAGTTCTGAACATGTATCATAAAATATAGAATAAGCCATAAGTTGCATCTGACAGACTACTCTGTGCAGCAGGATTTCATAAAGGACTGTCCTAACTTGTCTAGGGAATTCTAGGCAGTGTCACATATTTTGCATCCTGTTTGTCCAATTTGGAGAGCATAGTATCATCAGTCAAGGCAAGCGAGTTTCTTTCCCAATTATCTAGCATTTACCACAAAGAAATTGAAAGTCCTGTGGAGTTTCTTTAGCTCACATCATCTTTTGTCAAGTAGATTGACGCTGCTATGATTAGACATATATCATTATAATAAAAAAGAGTATGTTGTTGAAATACTTCAAATGTATATTCTCTAGAACTATGACGTGTTGAAGATGAAATATCTATCTAAAATATCTATCACTTTGACCTTGAAGACATATATAACATGACAACTAGACTTATAGTAATAGTTGACTAATTATTTTTTTTTTTGGTTTTTATGAGACAGGGCTTCTCTGTATTGTTTCGGAGACTATCGGTCCAGCCTGGCCTCGAACGCACAGAGATCCACCTGCCTCTGCCTCCCGAGTGCTGGAATTAAAGGCGTGCGCCACCACCGCCTGGCTAGTTGACTAATTATTAATCTGCATTTCCTTATTATCTATATATTTGGTAAAAATTTTCAAGAACTTGAAATTTGCATTACATTTTTGAATTTTCTGTATAGATACAATACTTGAACAATATTAGGCATATAGGTATATATTTCAACAAAATTAATCTCAAATTTGTATCCATAGAAAGTATTTATATATAATATGCAGAAGTCTATTCCAATTCAAATTATTTATAACTGATAGTTTCAATAGTCTACCTCTTTATCTCATCATATCAATATCCTACATT